TTTTTTTTTCAAAAACATACCTGTTCAGCATCAGCATATCTACCCTGCTCTTCGAGCTCCTCTGCTTTGGCCTCATACAGAGCAGTAGTTTCTTCCTTGCCCAGAAATTCTTCTGATAACTGAACACGCATCAAGAGTTAGAATGGCCTTGTTTTGAAATAAACGATTTAGGGTCGGACAATCAATTTCGTTTCAGTACAGTCAACACAGGGCGACGATATAATGTTACGAAGAGCATACCGTAGGCGTGATATCTAGCTAGTTATCGCGCGGGGCTGTCTCGGTATCCGGACTCCCACTAGAGCCTATTACACATTTGGGTAACCCATGAAAGGAAGAAAGCTGGTTTTTGAACAGAGGTTGGACTGATGATTTAATACTGCTCTTTTCGTAGGCTCTGCAACACATACTTGACTCCCATCCCCACCCCAACTTGGCGAATGAGTTCTAACTGCCCCAATTTCCTATTTGAAAGCGGGCACGACCCTTTAGCGGGGCGAAGGAAAGGGCCGTCAAAGTCCTACCCTATAGGCGTCCGCCCATCTGTTGTTTTTGATATACATTGCTATAGCTTCCTTCTGTAGATTTGCCTCCAGATATAGGCGTTCGGCTCGCTGAATGATCATAGTCAAGATAAGCTCAGAGTTTCTTCGGAGAAATATAAAGCTATAAAAGCTCAGCCGCACGTCCAGCTCATCTGTTGTCGCATAATGAGCAGCGATTCTTCCATAGAAGTCGCTGGATATCTGCGAATCGCGTNGTCCGTTCCCTGCTTCCGTCGAATCTAGCCACCCCACCCCTTTCAAGCACGACACTGCCCACACTACGATCTCGAGATGGAATTGCAGCACCTCTAAGCGTCAGCGGAGCGAATGTTTTGAAGTAGCCCATGCTACCCCCAGCGTAAGGTGACAATGAGTTCGGCTGTACGGCTACGCTCAAGGAAAGGAACGCCAAAGTCTTACCCTGTAGGCGTCTGCCCATCTGTTGTTTTTGATATACATTGCTATGGCTTCTTTCTGCAGATTTGCCTCCAGATATAGGCGTTCGGCTCGCTGAATGATCATAGTCAAGATAAGCTCAGAGTTTATTCGAAGAAATATAAAGCTATAAAAGCTCAGCCGCACGTCCAGCTCATCTGTTGTCGCATAATGAGCAGCGATTCTTCCATAGAAGTCGCTCGATATCTGCGAATCACGAATCACATCCACGATCTGCAAGGCCTTCCCCCATTCCTT